TAAATTTATTTATAAACTTCACCATTGAGGTATATAATTGAAATAGGAAGGCACTGACAGAAAAATTGGGAACAAAGAATCTCAAGGTTTGGGGCCAAGTCATTGAATCTAATGTCTCTGAAACCATTAGATGGTGGTAAAAACAAATTGGTGTGTAAGACTAGCAAGGGGAAAAAAAGAATAGAAGACAGCAGAGTATATCACAAGCAGCAAGTACTTTTTTCTGTATGTGTATATCAGGTCACAATGTGGAACTGTATTTCTTAATGTGGATCACAGTAAAAGTTGGAAAGTCACCACCTGAAGTCCAACTAGCACTTGACATTTGAATCAGTTCTGTATCTGTGTCCACATGACTGATTAATTTCTGCCTTAAGGCATTTTATAAACAGTGCCAGCTCTATTTTTGGACATTTTGCTAGGCAGCTCTTCAAAATAATGAAAGACAAGAGCCTAATAAAATATGATGTGAAAAGATATCTCTTTCAATCTGAAAAATGACTACAAATGTTTTGTCTTAATCTATTGGTTTAAATGTTTGAGGAAATTAAGCATTCTAGAAGTGTTTTTGTTGCTGCAGCACTGGAAACAGTGTTGCTCATGAGCTCATCAAGTTCATCACTAGCTTTGAAGATGGTCATTCCTAAGTTAGCCATCATCATTATTACTAATAATATGTGTGAGTACCCACAGAGCAGCAGAAGAGGGCAGCTTTCAGGTCTGTAAATAGTACTGAAAACATTAACTTAATAATCATAGTGCCAGCAGCCTCTAAATAGTACATAATCATATATACCAAATTAGTTACAATCTTAAAAACAAAGTCCAAAACAGTACATCTTTTTAACCCTTTTAAAAATGAACAATAACTGTGACTCATACTTTGAATAAAGCCAAATTATGTGAATTGTGGTTGCTGGTTGTTTGAACATCACCTAATAAAAAATTAGGGTAATGACACTAAGTTGTTTGAGAAATATTTAATACACTGAATGCTTCAGGCAGAGATGACAAAATTAAGATGTGTATCATAATATTCCCAATATACTGAATGGACTTTGGTAAATAATTAATATCACATAAACTTGTTACTGCAATTATTATTATTATTTGAGATGGAGTCTCACTCTGTTGCCCAGGCTGGAGTGCAGGGCACGATCTTGGCTCATGGCAACTGCTGTACCCACGTTCAATCGATCCTTCCACTTTAGCCTCCTGAGTAGCTGGGACTACAGGCCAGCGCCACCATGCCTGCTAATTTTTGTATTTTTAGTAGAGTTGGGGTTTCACCATGTTGGCTAGGCTCATCTCGAACTCCTGAGCTCAAGCAGTCCACCCACCTCAGCCTCCCAAAGTGCTGGGATTACATGACTAATTTCTGCCTTAATTGTTTTTAATGGTCCCCTGTATGAGCCTTTGAGATATTTAATGCCACGAATTTTCCACAGTAACTTTCTAGTCAACCATCAATATAAATATTTTGCCGAATTTATTATATACAGCAAATATTGTATTAATTGCTGACTGTGCCAAGCTCTCCATAACGTTCCAGGAATTTAAAAATTAATAATGCATAGTTCTTAATCTTAAAAGTTTCACAGATTAAGTGGGGAGAGAAAAATTTACAGTTGTGTGATATGGAGAAAGGTTAGTAGAAGGGTAGAGACTCCAGAAGTTAGAAGCTGCTAACAACCAAACTGTGTATGTGTGTGTGTGTTTTAGATGGAGTTTCGTTCTCGTTGCCCAGGCTGGAGTGCAGTGGTGCAATCTTGGCTCACTGCAACCTCCGCCTCCCGGGTTCAAGCGATTTTCCTGTCCCAGCCTTCTAAGTAATTGGTATTACCAGCACATGCCACCACACATAGCTAATTTTGTATTTTTAGTAGAGATGGGGTTTCATCATATTGGTCAGGCTGGTCTCAATCTCCTGACCTCAGGTGATCTGCCTGCTTCAGCCCCGCAAAGTGCTGGGATTACAGGCGAGAGCCACTGCACCCGACTTCCAAGCTGTGTTTTAAGAGATGACTTTGAATGGTGAACAAGAACACTCCTGGATGAGGACACTCATATAGAACACATATAAAGGGGAGAAAAGTGCTGGGAGATACAGCTGCAGAGATGGGTTGGTACCTATTCATGGAGAGACGTCCATGCTAGGTTAAGAAGTTTAAATTGTGTCTAGCATAGAAAACAAAACGAATGAAGGTTGTTAGGCAGGGAAGAGATGTGATTAGACTGGTCTTGGCTGGAGTAAATAATGGAGACTGGCAGGAGGTCAATTCAGGTATAAAGTGAGGGCCTGAACAAGTTGTGGGGTACTGTCAAATGTTTATTGAGTGCATACCACTGTATACCTGATCCTGGGGAGACAGTAGATCTTTTAAAAGAGCTTACAGTCAGCAGGCGAGATGACAATGAAAGATACAATGTGAGAATCTAAAGAAATTATAAGCATGTGGCCAGGTGCTGTGGCTCACCCCTGTAATCCCAGGACTTTGGGGGAGGCTAAGGTGGGTGGATCACTTGAGGTCAGGAGTTCGAGACCAGCTTGGCCAACATGGTGAAACTCTATCTACAAAAAGTACAAAAAGTAGCTGGGAGTGGTGGCGAGTGACTGTAATCCCAGGTACGAGGGAGGCTGAGGCAGAGAATCGCTGGATCCTGGCAGGTGGAGGCTGCAGTGAGCAGAGATCGTGTCACTGGACTCCAGCCTGGATAACAGAGCGAGACTCGTCTCAAAACAAACAAAGAAACAAACAAGTATGTCAGCACAGGAGTCCCAGAGAAAGCGATATTGAAGTGTAGAACTGAAGGAAAAATGAGATTGTAAAGATCTGAACTGATACTGTGCATCCTGTATAATCCCTCCATATTCCTAAAGAAAACCACTTTCTTTTGCCCTCACTGTAATCTACTAAAGCATTTAAAATAGTTAATAATTTAAAAAACAATAATATGTTGAGGCCAGAATTAGGTTTCTCTCCCCTGTTCTCCCACAGCATCTTACCTTTGCATCATTCGCACACTATTATAATTACTTGAAAATTACTTGGAAGCGGTCCAAAGAATGGACAGACATTTAGGAGCGCCAGGAAGGAAACAGCACAAAAGGGAAGGAGGAGTATAAAAGTTAAATAATTTAAAATGGCAAATGCTTTAAAAAGTTCAAATAAAATTTCAGTACTGTAATTTACCGTAATTTGGAAGTCCTTGTTAATGATCTGTTTGCAGTTTACGTAAAATACACAGTAGGCCAAAAATGAGATTGAACTGAGGACTTCCTGTCAGAAAATTTGATTTGAGAAGTGATGCTACAGAATTTTGTTGGTTCTTTTTTTTTTTTTTTTTTAATTAAGGAAAGGAGAATAGAGGTTGTCTAAGACTTGGTAAGAAGGAAAGTAACTTGTCAAGGCTTATTACTACGGATACATGTATTAGTAACTTGTAACAGTATTTCCTCTAGATATTTGCATATATATAGTTGGGGGGGTGGGGACCCCATAAGTACCGAGGCAGGAGTCAGAAGCCTTAGCCTATTCCCATACAAATAATGAAAAAAATAACTAGAGATATAACCATCGTAGTTATTCATAGGTGATCTTAGTTCTCTTACTAATGCCTCTCACGTCGGGAAGTATGAACCTGGGGTGACATTGTGAAAGGAATGACCCTAAGGCAAGACACTTTAAGCCCTCTGTCTTGCCCTTGTAAGGGCTGCTGGAGGGTCCCTTGGCTATGCAGCAGTGCCAGTGCTGGGAAAGCACCTGCTGGTTAGCAAGCTGCGGAAGGAGATGTCAGAGATGTCTCCTTCCCCAGAGGAGTTAGGAGAAAAGTCTGCTTCTCCAAGCTCTTGCGTTAGGCCTGACAGCTGTCAGGTAGGCCCACAGACATCAGCGGCTTAATTGTCTCTATGTGATGCTGTGCTTCAGTGGTCACGTTCCATGTCCACTCTCAAGTTCCACTTCTGCACCTGGTTCTTTTTTCTTAGAAGAGAGAATCAGTAAAAGTAATATACATCTTAATGTCTTTGTTCTTTCTTGGCAAGTATGGAAAAGTGCTGACACATTATGCTCCTTACCTCATCTCGGCTACCAAAAAGTCTTGGGCCCCTATGTGACACATGATGTACTTGACTATCACTGACTACCAATGCCACGCCCTATCTAGCCTGCCCCCAGCCTTGTACTCAATAAGAGTGTGCGGACACTCAGGGCCACTGCTGACTTCACGCTTTGGTTGGCAATGGACTCCTGGGCCCACACTCTCTTTTCTCTATCTGTGTGTCTTGTGTCTTTTATTTCTACAGTTTCTCATCTCCACAGCAGCAGAGAGGGGCTCAAAGGACCCTGTAGGGCTGGAGCCTACATATAACAGAATTAATGTTCGTACATTTTCACTTATCCCTAGGAAAGAATTACTGATGCATACAAACTCTTAACATTTACGATGGATGTGTAAACCTTCAAGGTATGAATCGGTCGTTTCTGGTAATTTATTGCAACCTATGATTAAGACAGAAGGTTAGGACTGAATTAATTCATTTCCCAAAGAAAAAAGTCAGAGAACATATCTACCAGATTATCACTGGCATATTTCTGCATTTTTTTTTTAAAGACAGGGCAACACTTGCCCACGCTAGGAGTGCAGTGGTGCCATGATGGTTCACTGCAGCCTTGAGCTTCTGGGCTCAACTGATCCTCCCACTTCAGCTGTCTGAGTAACTGGGACTACACATGTGTGCCACCATGCCCAGCTAATTTTTGTATATTTTGTAGGGAAGGGGTTTTACCATGTTGCCCTGGCTAGTCTCCAACTTCTGGGCTCAAGCAAACCTCCTGCCTTGGCCTCCCAAAGTGCTGGGATTACGGGTGTGAGCCATTGCACTCAGCTCTAGCAAGGTTTTTACATTCTAAATTGGGTTATATTTGAATGATGAATGTCACTAATAAGAGGAAGTGCAAGTACCAATATGTTCTTTACAGGCCTCATACTGCTGTTTTTTACTTTTTCTTTTCATTCTTGGTCATGTTGCAGTTTTTCTTGGCCAATTTTCTGGCCAAACTCCTCCTCACCACTTATGTTCTGTGTGCTGATTACTATGCAGTGCCACTAAGTTAGGCTCTTTTGTCTTGCCAGCTCACATCTTTCCCTAAGGCATAATAACCATTTACTGCTTAATTTTCACTTTTCTGCTCTATCTTGCTGGGGTGGTGTAATAAAATTCCAGCCTAACAAACACAATAAGTAAAATGGCTTGCCAAAGATGATAAAGATCAACCAGATTTGTTTGGGATATATAGCAGCACAAATTTAAAAGTAAATAAATAGGAGCAGCCCATCTCAATCATAACGTTCCGATACTGGTCAGTGTGACTGAAAACTGAAATTGTTCATGTTAACCAATGTTTTTCAGTTTCCACCTAACATTGCAGTTCAGTTTGGTGCCCTCTTGTGCCTCTCATTTTTACAAACACAACTCAGAAGTCCTGATAACTTTAGAGAAGGCACCTCTAAGATTTTACTCATAGCAGGTATTCCTGGATATAACAGGTATTATTCTACGTGGAACATCTGCTCATCAGATTTTAATATTCAAGCCTTGTGGCTTCAAGTCATTGCCTGTGACTGATCATCTGCGCAAATCCAAGAGTCCTCTGAAACTGTCTCCCAAACATTAGGGTGCTCATGCTAAGCAATAACTCACTAGACCCACTACAAGATTCAATAGTTGTAAAGCTGAAAACGTGGTTGTGGTGTTTACATTTTCACTCCGATCGGCCCAGCCTCCACTCTTTTCTCTGTTGGATGTTTTCTTGCCTTACCTGGTCTGAGAAAAACTGTGCCGCCCCACCCTTGCAGAGTTAACTGGGGGACGCTTGCCAGCTGCACGCAGTCCCGGCGGTCCGGGTATGCCGGGAGGAACGCCTGGGTCAGGCGCAGGTACGTTATCCTGTTACAGACCTTGGCCTAGCCCGCAGGTTGCACCGGGACAGGAGATGACACCAGACCCTCGATTGGCTGCCCTCCTCCGCGACAGGCTGAAGGGGACAAGCCCTCTTTCACCTGGGACCGATCCAACATTTGGCGGGTCGGCCTCTGTCCGGACCTACTCGCTGTCGCAAAGGTCAAACTCACCTTGGGAAAGTCCGCGCTGGGACGGCAGCTAGCACCACAACAGGCGGCCCCAGCGGAGTCTCACAGGGTCAGGCCAGGACAGCCAACTTGCCTGGCCGGCCGAGAGCCGGAGGCGAGGCCGCCCCCTTCCCGGCAGTCTGCCGACTTCCGGACCTGCGCAGACGCTTCTCTGCGCCTCCAGGCGCGCCCCTCCCCCGGCCGGCCGTTTCCCGGCATGCGCCGCGGAGGAAGAGACGGAGTCGACAATAACAAACCCAGCCGCGGCGGTGTCCGCGGCCCTGCCGAGCCCTCGGCGTTGCCTCAGGGTTCCCCATTTGCCTGGGCCCCTCGGCTCTGACAGGCCGCGGCCCCCTGTCTCCCGGCCCCAGACCCAGAGCCGAGGGGCCTGCACGCGTCCTTCTCCGCCCCGACCCCTCCCTCTTGCCTAGAGTTCGGGGCCGCGGCGGGCGGGCGCCCGGGACGCCGGCGGTTGTGTCGGTTGGCAGTGCCGAATGGGCGGCCGGTAGCCGCCGCCGACGACTAGGCGGCGGCGGAAGATGGTGCCGGGGGTCGCTGGCTCTGCTGCTGCTGCCGGCGAAGGAGGAGGCGCTGCCGGGTAAGTGTCGCAGCCGCCCGCGTCCCCTTCCCCCATCTGGTACAGTGGTCGTGCGGCGGGCCCTGGAACGGTGGACCGGGGGCGCGGGGTCCAGGGTCCCGGCCGGCTCGAGCCCAGCCCACGCGCAGGTGTGTGCATCTGAGGGCCCCGGCGCCTCCCGCTCCGGCAGGTGTTGCCCACTGGCCGCCTTCCCGGCGCTACGGCCCCTGTGGAGACAAAAGCGGTTCGAGTCGATGCTCCACCAGGCTGCGGGAAGTGTGGGTCGGGCTCGCTTGCTGCGGGGCTGCTTGCGACTTCCTCAGCCTGAGCCTTGGGTTCCATCCCTCTGCGCTGCGGGTTAGCACCCAGCTGAGTTGCGGGAGTGGCCGAGGGCGAGGGACGTCCGAACCCACCGAGACGCCTCCTGACTTGTGCTCATCGCTGCCAGGGATCAGCCCTTAAAGCTGTGTTGGACTCGAGGAAAGAGAGAGGAGTTTGGCCGAGGCCGAACGAAGCGCACCGAGTGGGAGGAACCGGAGAGATGATGTCTTTGTCCCGACCCCGGAGTGCGACGATCAGTGTAAAGTTACTCCTAGGAATGACTCAGCCTGCGCCCGCGCCTTGGATAGATTTGAGATGGGTGTGCACGCGGATTTCACAGCTTCCTTGGTAGAAACAAAAATACATTAACCAACAGTAGAAATGGCAGCTTCTGAGTGGAATATATAGTTTCTTCCACCGCCTGGTGGATGTGCTGTGTTTACTGTTTATGGTTTCGTAATCCAGTCTTCCACCGTGACTCTTTAAAGTGTGCTCATACCTTGAAGTAGTGTAGACCTGGGTGCCAAGGAAGACTCATGTGCTCACTATTGATAGAGAGTCACGTTACTATGAGACATTCAGCCAGATGGGAATGTTCTCAAGTCAGCTGCAAACATTTAAAATGTACCTATTTGCTAACCATTTTATTGTGTAGTTTCTTAAGTTTTGTGTGTTGATGGGGCGTGTATAATTTATACGTAGATTTGAACAGTTAGCTATTTAGGAGGAGACTTTTAAATAGGTTTAATTGTGTGTTTAATCAAGAATGTTATTACATTTTGATAAACGATAAAAAGAGGGTCCATCCACTTCTGATCGGATACAACTGTGAGAAACAGACTACTGAGGGCGGTGGTTGTTTTTATTTTTTGGGTTATTGGATCTATAAGCAGACCATTGATAAGAATGTGAAAATATTTTTGCTTTTTGTATTTGTTGTAACAGAATATGGCCCTAATGAACATATTTTTTCACTAACATTCTTGTCAGGTCTTTTAGTGTTTGCGATTGTGTTCAAAAGCTGGATAAAGTTTTATGTCAGGGGTGCTTTAGTCACATAATGCTTATGTTGAGAAATCTCTGTTGCTGGAAAGTGGATATTGATGTAGTTTATGTTTTTAAAGTAATTTTATTTAGTCTATTCTGAACCTTTTATGGTAATCAAGAAATGATTATTTATGTGCCTAATCCTATATTTTTGTTACTGGACCATCAGAAGACAGTGAAAGCGGTACTTTTGTCCCTGAAAGAGGCTTTTTTTTTTTTGGACACTTCCTGCCAAACGCAAAATCAGGATGCATGGCAGATTGACTTTTTAGCAAATCAGGCTCATCAAGGCAGAGGACACAAGACCTTTGTTTTTGAAATGTTGAACCAAAATTTTGATTATGTTAGCCTGAGAAAAGTTTTTAGACTCTAATTTTGAGATTAACTTAAACATTTTAATCATACATTCAGCAAATATTTGAGCACCCATATGTTTTACTTTGCAGATGCATATGTCTTATGAATATCTTTTTAAAAGAATGGCTGATAAGATTTTCTCATTCAGGTAATGGTATTGTCTAACTCCAGTTGCATTTTTCTTTTGTAGTAATACCGGCCCAAGACACTCAGGTGAAAATCTAGCAATTCCTTTCGACACACTTCCAAGATTTTTTTTATTATCTCTTTACCACTGTGAGGTTTTTGAACTAGTTACACGAGGAACATAAAAATGTTTAAGTAATTGTTCTTGCTTTATAAGAGAAAGAAAATTGGAGTTCTCTATACATTTGTGATGTAAGTATTATTGGAAATTGGTATGAAGGGATTGAGCTTTTTTTTTTTTTTGAGATGGAATTTTGTTCTCATTGCCCAGGTTGGAGTGCAATGCACCATCTCGGCTCACTGCAACCTCCTGAGTTCAAGGGATTCTTCTGCCTCAGCCTCCGAAATAGCTGGGATTACTTGCATGCACCACCCCACTGTTTTTTTCTGTATTTTTAGTAGAGACAAGGTTTCTCCATGTTGGTCATGCTGATCTGGAACTCTCGACCTCAGGTGATCCGCCCGCCTCAGCATCCCAAAGTGCTGGGATTAGAGGCGTGAGCCTCCTCACCTGACCAGAATTTGAGCTTTTATAAGGTATAGGACGATATTTTGGTAAGGAAAAGCATGAAGTGACTTGGAGAAGTCACTTCACCTCTTTAAAAGTATTTTAGTCACCTCAGAGAGTTTCGATGAGTATTTATTGTTTACCTACTCTGTGGCAGGCACTGCTGTAGATGTGCTTGGGACTCCAGAGTGAACAAACCAAAGAAACATTTCTGTCTTCAATTTTAAAAAAATGGAATTGCTAAGGAGAAAAACACAGCAGAGAAGGGAGGGTATGAAGTGTCAGGGTTAGGGGTTTGAAACTTTAGATAAGGTGGCCAGGGAAGGTCTCACTGATAGACTTTTTTGTTTTGTTTTGTTTTGTTTTTGAGATGGAGTCTCACTCTTTCACCCAGGCTGGAGTGCAGTGGCCTTATCTCGGCTCCCTGCAAACTCTGCCTCCCTAGTTCAAGCAATTCTTCTGCCTCAGCCTCCCGAGTTGCTGCGATTACAGGTGCCTGTCGCCACACCCGGCTAATTTTTGTAATTTTAGTAGAGACAGGGTTTTGCCATGTTAGCCTGGCTGGTCTTGAAATCATGACCTCAGGTGATCCTGCCTTGACCTCCCAAAACCCAGCCACTGATTGACTTTTGAATAAAGGCCCAAGAGAAGTAAGGGGGCTAAGTGTGTGGTGACTCTTTGAATTTTTGGCTGAATAAACAGTGAATGGGAAGGCTCTGATATACATGGCATATACAAAGAAAAATGAAGTTACTGAGGCTGGACTAGTTTGAGAGAGGGGATAGTAGTGGAAGGTGGCATGGCGGGGAGGGCTCTACATATCCACGTTTGGAAATCATAGTAAGGGAACTAGTGTACTCTGACTTAGCATGTACAAAGGCCTACAAGTGAATTCCAGTAAACCTAGCATGACTGGAAAGCAGTTGAAGCCAAATTCACTTCGTTTGTTTCTAAAATGCTAATGGAACCCTGCAGCATACTCTTAGCTTCAGCAATGTAACAGTGAGCGAGAAAGACATATATGTCTATGTATGTATATTTATAAGGAATAGGGAACCACTGGAAATTTTAATGGAGGTGAATGACGAATGCATATTACTTTGAAGACGTAGAATAGATGAAAGGCTAGCTAACCAGATTGTATAGTGCTAGGCTGATAAGTTTTTACTTAACTCGAATAGATAAAAGGATGTAAAGATTACTTGTCTCTGGTTCTTTAATTGTTATGGGCCAAATCAGCTTAATTTGTCTGCAAACTGTACCCCCATTGTTTAGGTCCCTGAGAGGATGGCATTTCTTTCCATCCCTCTGTGAAATTCCAGTTCTGCTGAGTTACTTTTTGTGAGTACAGTACTTGAGCGCCTCCAAGTACCCTCTTTCCTTGGTTAATTTGTTTCTGCTTTCATAGCTGTTTAGTGAGTTCTCTGAGGATTGTGGAGTAACAATTTTTTCCACCCTTGAATTCTCATATTTTATTGGCTTGTAATTTTGCTAGGAGATGAAAATAATTGTGATCCATTTCCTTTTTTTGTCACTGAATTGAGACTGTCCATATCATTTTTTCCTTCACATTCCACACTTAATAATTGTTCAGTAACTGTACAGCATACCTGTTGAAATATTAATGAATTCACTACTATATTATTAATATTATAGTAATAATAATGGCTTCTAGTAGTAGTTTTACTGCAAATGCCAGATTTGGGCAGGCTGCTTTAACATTGTTGTATGTTTATAGATAGTCTTGCTTTAATAGAATGAAGCTAATTCTATATTTTTCTTTTTTCACCCATCTTCTCTGTCTTATATAATTCCATATTTGCCCTATAGGTAATTTTGGTTTTATTTTACTCTTAGTTTCCGTTGTAAAATGAAACATGCAACTAGAAAATTTTCACTAAAATCATGCATTTTATATTATAGTTATTATAAATGGTACGGACACCAAAATGTGTAATGCATTTATATGTATTTTATGCAGTTCAAGCAAAGTCCACAGTAGTATGTAGGGTGTTACTTCATTTTTATAAAACCATATTGCCTGAATATACACATACACTTGTATACCTAGGGAAAAAACCTGAAGGATATACTCCCAAGTGTTTTTCATTTTTGTTTTAAAAGTATTCCTGTTCTGCTACTTTTACCTTGTTTGATGTCTTTGGGCACTACCTTTCTAAATGCTGTCTTCATTCTTTTGGTGAAGTTGCTTGTCTAGTTGTAGACAAGGCATATATTTAGGAGATCTGAACTTTTATGAAAAGGTTTTTCTTTTAGGGGAATGTGAGGAAAATGCCTGACCTACTCGTCTTTCATTCTTTTTCCTGGCAGAGAAAGGGTAGGACCAGATTAGAATACATCTGATTTAGGGAGGCTGATGCACAGTTTTCAGTACCTGGGCAGCAGTCTTCCTAAATCAGTTGTATTCTAACCCGACCAACCTAGACACTCCATTTGTGGAAGACATTATCTCCATTGATGCAGTAGCCAGTGACCCCTCGAGGGAGAATTGCTCAGAATTGCAGTTTACAGCAGTAGAGATCAGACAAAATTATTTCCAATCATCTTTTCTCTCTGAAGCTTTTAGTGCACTTTAGGGTTATCTAAATCTCATGTGTTCTATCCAACTGGAAAGCATCTTGAAGATACTTGTATTCCAAGCACCTAGCACAATGCCTGGCTTATGTTAGATGCCCCCAAAATACTGAATAAATAATGTGTCCAGTTTTTAAGGTCAGAAATTGTCATTGGGGTTTCCCGTTTTCGCCTTCTCATATAAGGAAGCTAATTCTAAGTTTTTTATTTGTTTTTTGCAGAGTCTTCCATTTTGCCCAGGCAGGAGTGCAGTGGAGTGATCTAGGCCTCACTGCAACCTCTGCCTCCTGGGCTCAGGTGATCCTCCTACCTCAACCTTCCAATAGCTGGGATTACAGAGGTGTGCTAGCACACCCCACTAATTCTTGTATTTTTAGTAGAGATGGGTTTCACCATGTTGCCCAGGCTGATCTTGAACTCTTGGCCTGAAGTGAGCCACCCACCTCAGCCTCCCAAAGTGCTGGGATTATAGGCATAAGCCACTGTGTCTGGCCTAATTGTCAGTTTTGAATGTATTAGAATAGTTGACAGTAAGGCTGGGATAATTGACTTTATCGTCATGGTAATCTCTCAAGAGGAAATGGTAAATTAATCTCCAATTGAGAAGTTGGATAGATTTTTAATGAGTATGAGATACTTTCTGGTTCTTTTCCTTATATATGTGGATATATGGTTCAGTTGTTATCCCTCTACATCTGGAAGCAAATGCAGTGGCATCAATATATTTTTATTAATATTATTATTAATATTTGAGATGGAGTTTCACACTTGTTGCCCGGGCTGGAGTGCAATGGTGCGATCTCAGTTCGCTGCAACCTCTGCCTCCCAGGTTCAAGCGATTCTCCTGGCTCAGCCTCCCTAGTAGGTGGGATTACAGGCATGCCCTACAATGCCCAGCTAATTTTGTATTTTTAGTAGAGATGGGGCTTCATCATGTTGGTCAGGCTGGTCTTGGACTCCTGACCTCAGGTGATCTGCCTGCCGCAGCCTCTCAAAGTGCTGGGATTACAGGCGTGAGCCACTGTGCCTGACCAAATCAATATTTTTTAAAATACACCTCTCCCCTTCATTTATAGCTGACTGTATCCTAGGAGGATTTAGCAGGAATAGATGTCTTCTCATAATGAAAGATAGGCTTTTCCCCCCCAGATAAGATAATTCCTGCTACCTTATATTAACTGCTTAAGAGCTCTGTAAATTTGGAGAAGGGAGAAAGAATACTGTAGGCCACCTGTGATAGGGAAAGACTTTCCAAAGTGGTAATAGGACAATACTTGGACTTTTAAAGATGAGTAAAATTCAGATAAGTAAAGATGGGAATTTTACCTGGCAGGAATATGTAAAGTGAGGGTATAGGTTTCTCATGTAAGGGAGTAGTTGATGATACTGCTACAAAAATAAACTGCGGTTAATTATGAAGTTCTTGAATGCTGGAGTTTAAAGTCATAATTGAGGCCGGGCGCGGTGGCTCAAGCCTGTAATCCCAGCACTTTGGGAGGCCGAGGCGGGTGGATCACGAGGTCAAGAGATCGAGACCATCCTGGTCAACATGGTGAAACCCCGTGTCTACTAAAAATACAAAAAAAGTAGCTGGGCATGGTGGCGCGTGCCTGTAATCCCAGCTACTCAGGAGGCTGAGGCAGAAGAATTGCCTGAACCCGGGAGGTGGAGGTTGCGGTGAGCCGAGATCGCGCCATTGCACTCCAGCCTGGGTAACAAGAGTGAAACTCCGTCTCAAAAAAAAAAAAGGTCATAATTGCCACCATTTTAAAAGCTTTTAGTATATTCCTTGCACTGTAAAAGAATGTGAAGTACATTATTGGTATTCTTCTCGTCTTGGAAAGGTATTGTTGCAATTTATAGATTGTCAGCTGATGTGTAGAGGTTACCTGTGCCTCATTGAGAAAGATAGGATTCAAATACAGGTAAATTTTGTTCCAAAGTCTGGCATTAGCCTATGTCAAGTTGGCAAATTCACATGCTAAGAGGGGTAGGCAGACAGTGCAATGAAGTGAAACTGTGGGTACTGAACCAGTGGTCACAAGGAGAGTGTAGCAAACGACAGAGCCTGCTGAACTGTTGATTTGTGCCCTGCTATAGGCAGCAGTAAGGTGCTAGGGAAAATATTTGAGGGAAGCAGCCTGACTACCTTGGTCTAACTGGTAGGGAGTATTTAGGAAGGATTGAAGCAAGATAGAGATTTAAAGGCTAAGAGAAGAGGTTGTAGGCTC